CGAATTCACCCGGACGTCTGGCCTAGACCAGTGGTCGGCAAACTCATTAGCCAACAGAGCCAAGTATCAACAGGACAACGATTGAAATTTCTTTTGAGAGCCAGATTTTTTAAACTTAAACTATATAGGTAGGTACACTGTTATTAACTTAACTAGGGTCCTCCTAAGGCTTAGGAAGAGCCACACTCAAGGGGCCAAAGAGCCGCATGTGGCTCGAGAGCCGCAGTTTGCCGACCACGGGGACACAAGGCCGCCACAGCGGGGTCTGAGAGCAAACGTTTGGAAATGATCTTCTCGGAAAAGGAGAAAAGCTCCTACTGGGTAACTGACCAGGAACGCCGATCCGATGGGACTCGTTCCGCAAAGCTACGCACCTGCTGCGGGCGGCGGGGCCCGCGCGCCCCTGGACCAAAGCCTGGACGCTGTCGCTGCCGCTGCTGCTGGCCTCTCCGGCCAGGCCCTGGGCGGGCTCCGGCCTCCCGCTCATCCCGGGGACAGGCGGCGGCAGGAGGCGCGTCCCACCGGCTTTCCGTCTTTATTGCCTGGAAGCCAGGAGGCTGCACATGGTGGCGGCTGGCTCTCTGTCTTGCTTCGCAGTGTTTCTCCGCCGAGGGGGAGACTGGAGTGAGCGGGGCTGAGTGCCGGGCCCTCTGTTGTGTCACCCTCTGTGATGCGTCACAATGGCTCCAGGGTGCAGGGCCTCTCTCCACTCTGTCACGCCCCGATGCCCTTGACGGGGGTTTATCGCAGCACCTGCCCACCCTGCCACGGACTGTGCAGGCCCAGAACCTGACGGGGTACAGGGTGAAAGAAAAATAGGATTTTTATCATTCCTCTTCCTGCCCAGCCGGGTGGCTCAGTTCAAATCCCAGTCAGGGCACAGGCTGATCCATGATTCTCTCTCATCATTGATGTTTCTCTCTCTCCCTCTCCCTTCCTCTCTGAAATCTGTAAAAATATATTAAAAAGACGAAATAAAAATCTCCGTCTGGAAACCATTTGCTTCCTGGTGAGGCACCGTCTTCCCGTGGCGGGGTCCTCGGCAGCCTGGGGTGTCGGGTGGCAGGCTGGCTCTGAGGGGGGGCGTCTCCCACTTTCACTGCCACTCCTGCCCCTCGTGTTTATCGGCTCCCGTGGCTCCCGGGCCTCTTACATTGCCTGTACACCAGCGGTTCTCAACCTGTGGGTCTCGACCCCTTTGGCGGTGGAAGGACCCTTTCACAGGGGTCGCCTAAGACCATCCTGCATATCAGATATTTACATGACGATTCATAACAGTAGCAACATGACAGTGATGAAGTAGCAACGAAAATAATTTTATGGTTGGGTCACAACATGAGGAACTGTATTTAAAGGGCCAGAAGGTTGAGAACCACTGCTGTAGATGGTGTGGGCGGGGACATAAAGAAACCCCACCCGCTCTGGGCCTCGTTTTTTCCAACGAGGCTGAAAACCCAAAAGGCTACACGATACTGACACCCATAACCATTTCTCCAACGGGCAGCTTGTCCTTCAGTTACTTTCGATGACCTTCAAAGAGAAAACGCCAGGCTTCCAAGCCCCTTGGGTTTGTGAGAGCCGGGTCTCAGGAGCGTGGCTCAGTGGTTGAGTGTTCACTTATGAACTAGGTCAGTGATGGCGAACCTTTTGAGCTTGGCGTGTCAGCATTTTGAAAAACCCTAACTTAACTCTGGTGCCGTGTCACATATAGAAATTTTTTGATAATTTGCAATCATAGTAAAACAAAGACTTATATTTTTGATATTTATTTTATATATTTAAATGCCATTTAACAAAGAAAAGTCAACCAAAAAAATGAGTTCGCGTGTCATAGGTTCGCCATCACTGAACCAGGAGGTCAGGGTTTGATTCCCGGCCAGGGCACGTGCCTGGGCTGCGGGCTCCGTGCCCAGTGGGGGAAGGAGTGTGCCTGGGTGATGGCCTCTCGGCTGCTTGGGGTTGGCGTGTGTCACAGGGTGAGCAGAGCAGAAAGTGACGGTGAGACCTGGGGGTTTACATAAATCTGAGTCCGTCAACAACAGGGCAGAGGAGAGAGACTAGGCCGCAGGGAGGGTCGAGGGCTCTGAAAAATCGAAATTTTACTCAAAAACACTTTTTCTCTTCTCAAAATAGTCACAAACAGGAGACATCCACATAAGATATTCTTATAATAGCGTCTCTATATATCAACATCTTGTAGCTATATCAGATATTCTAAAACATACACAATATAAAGACATCTACATGTAGGTAGGCGTATAAGATATTTCTATTTATATTTTATCAAAACATCTGTAAATAAAACTGAATAAAATTGTGCACAAAGTGAGGTCAGACATGAGGAGACGTTGGATCCTTCTAAACGCGGAGAAGGTTACATGACAGAAGGCCCACCTGTGGCAAAATGCAGGCGATAAAGACACGGAGCTGTTCTCATTCTAAACAGGTGGTCCTCGTTCCCCTGCCCATTGGCCCGGCACCTTCCCTAGAGTCCAGTGCAGTGGTTCGCAACCTTGGCTGCACATTAGAATCACCTGGGCATCTTTTTAAAATCCTGATTTCTGGGCCTCATCCTCCGGAAATTCTGTTTCTGTGTTACTCATGTTGTGGCCTCACCCCATAACAAAGAAACAGAATTTTCGGAGGATGAGGCCCAGAAATCAGGATTTTAAAAAGATGCCCAGGTGATTCTAATTAATGTGCAGCCGAGGTTGAGAACCACTGGGTGTGATCTGGCATCTGCAAAGGGTGGGAGTTTCAGTCATACCCCCAAAAGTCAAAGCTTCCTTTCTTCTAAGGACGGAGCGCTCTTCATTAAGACTCAGAAATCGACTTTGATTAGCAAGGGGGTGTCCGAGTGGCTACACTCTGGCTCTCCTATGAACCCCGTTCAGAAACAGAAAGAGAGACTGGAGCCAGGGGGCTCCGGTTCCTGCGATCAACTATTTGTAAAGAGCTTCTCTGGAGGGCACCGTCCCAGTGGAGGACGCTGTGACTTGTGCAAAAGAAAGCTCTGTTATTTCGGCGACGGCCTAACTACCTCTCCACACAGCAGGACGAGCAGTGGGCGGTGCAATGGGAAGTGCTGACTGCCCACACGAGGGGCCAGCTGTAGACCCTGAGAATTCATTGCAATATTGTGGGAGAGCTGCGTGGACACGGAGCTGTGGCTAGTTCCCGCCACGAGGTACCTTCTCATCGCCGCTCCTAGGCCCCTGCCTTCTGCTGGACTTGGGCCAGGCTTTCCCTGTTCAGGAAAAGCACTAAAGTTGCCAAATGAGCGCCCTTAAAATGAGTTGGTTTCAGAAACATTTTCAGCACGACCAAAGCCCCTCCTGTGCTCCTCCCACAGCTCCCACAGCTCACCTGGTCTGGCCACACCGGGTCAACCCTGGGTCCTCGCTCAGTGTCCATCCGGGGAGGCAGGGAGCTCACTCTCCAGGAACAAAACCGCAGGAGCCTTGAGCCCTGTGCAGAGGGGATGTCCAGTCCAGGGAGCAGCAGGCATGCCCCGCCCTCTCCCTGTGCAGAGAGGATGTCCAGTCCGGGGAGCAGGAGGCATGCCCCGCCCTCCACCTGTGCGGACCCCCAGTCCAGGGAGCAGGAGGCATGCCCCGCCCTCCACCTGTGCGGACCCCCAGTCCAGGGAGCAGCAGGCATGCCCCGCCCTCTCCCTGTGCGGACCCCAAGTCCAGGGAGCAGGAGGCATGCCCCGCCCTCTCCCTGTGCGGACCCCCAGTCCGGGGAGCAGGAGGCATGCCCCGCCCTCCACCTGTGCGGACCCCCAGTCCAGGGAGCAGGAGGCATGCCCCGCCCTCCACCTGTGCGGACCCCAAGTCCAGGGAGCAGCAGGCAGGCCCCGCCCTCCACCTGTGCGGACCCCAAGTCCAGCCCTGCCAAACGTTCTCAACTCAGGGACCAGAAAGAGTCCTGAAAAATCCAGGTTCGAGAAAAGGCGCTTCCAGGATAACGTTACGGCTGGTGCACAGTCTGATGCTGAGGTTCTGTATTCGTCCTCTTCTTTAAATGCACTAAGTAAACGAGCGTTTTCGGGGACCGCTTTGGGGAAACTCGGGGTGGGGCAGGTGGGGGGGGAGGACGCGGAGACCGGCCCCGCCCCGCCCCCTTCGCGGCCCGACCCACTCGGGTCCGGGGCGGTTGACTGGCAGGGTCCGCGCTCCGCCCCTGTCCCTGATTGGCCTGCTGCGGCCCCACAGGCTGCCCCGATTGGCTGTCGGAACTCCAGCCGCGCCCGCCGGTTGGCCACCCGGCCGTTGCCCGGGCGACGCGAGTTGTTGTGGTTGCGCGCCGCGCCGGGAGTTGGTGATTGGCCCCGCCGCCCGCGGGGTAGACTTTGGCCTCTGGCGCCGCGGGAGGTACCCACCCGGCCCTCGGCGAGCAGGTGAGCGGGGCGGGCAGCCCGGGGTCTGGACGGGGAGGGGTCACCTGGGAACCCGCTGTCCTCTGCTGTACGCCTGTTGGGACGTGCACGCCCGGCCCGAGTGCTGACACGTCTGCATTTGGGTCAGGTAGAGGCGGACCGACAGGCAGAGCGGGGCGCGGTCCTGGTCTGTGCAAGAGCTCAGCCCGGCGCGGTGCCCTGCTTCCGGGCCCATCGCGAACACCGGCCCTGCGTGTCTCCGGATTCCCTGCTTCCCGGCTCATCGCGAACACCGGCCCCGCGTGTCTCCCGGTTCCCTGCTTCCGGGCCCATCGCGAACACCGGCCCCGCGTGTCTCCGGATTCCCTGCTTCCCGGCTCATCGCGAACACCGACCCCGCGTGTCTCCGGATTCCCTGCTTCCCGGCTCATCGCGAACACCGGCCCCGCGTGTCTCCCGGTTCCCTGCTTCCCGGCTCATCGCGAACACCGGCCCCGCGTGTCTCCGGATTCCCTGCTTCCCGGCTCATCGCGAACACCGACCCCGCGTGTCTCCGGATTCCCTGCTTCCCGGCTCATCGCGAACACCGACCCCGCGTGTCTCCGGATTCCCTGCTTCCCGGCTCATCGCGAACACCGGCCCCGCGTGTCTCCCGGCATGAGGAACGCCAGCAAGGAGCTGCCTGGGGCCACCGGCCGCTACGCCCCCTGCGGTGAGTGCCCAGCCCCAGGAGCCCTCAGCCTCTGCTGCTGGACAGCTCCGCGCGCCTGTGGATAGACCAACACGTGATACCCCCAAAGAAAGGCGCACAATGTATGCTCCTGTGCCCCGGTGTCAAAGCAAGGCTGAAAGGGAAATGTGGGGGGCGGGGGCGGGATCGTCCTTTTCCCCCCATTTTCAGACACAAAAGGAAACAGAGAACCGAGTTAACTTTGTCCCCGGCTGTGAGTGTCTGGACACAGAAACCAGGGTCCCCAGGAGGTGGTGTGGCTTTGCACTTAGCAGGGTTTGAAGCTGGGCGGAGGGGAAGGAGGAGGCCTGGTGCTGAGGGCTGTTCTTGCCTTGGTGCGGTCGCTCCCCATCCTGGGAAGGTCTGGAGAGGGGGTGAAGGTGATCCAGGAGCTGGCGGCCAGCGGCAGGGTGGGGCGGCCGGCAGGCTCAGCCTCTTGCTCAGAAGTGGGGCAGAGCTTGGCCTTCATGTGATCTAGCAACCCTTCCAGTCTGAGCTCTGACTGTGACCACCAGGGGAGAGGGGGACAGGGGGACAGGACGCATGGCGGTTTCCCCTTCTCTGCCACAGGCTCTCAGCCTATGTGTGGCCTCTGGGGCCTCACTGAGCGACCTCCCTATACGAAGAAGCCCTGAAATAAGCACTTTCATACACTAACATTTAACCTCAAAACAGCACGACGAGGTATCATTAACCCTGGTTATAGGTGAGGAAACTGAGGCACAGGGTCCGAGGATGCTGCCGGAGGTCGCACCCCTCACAGGTGGCCCCTCTGCCCAGCTTGGACCCCTGTTCCCTGAGGCCTCGGCGGCCAAAACAAGGGGAGCGGTGTCTCTGGGAGCCCCTGTGGGGTGTGGCTGTGCCACGCAGCTCTGTGCTTGGAGACGGGAGAGCTGCCGGCTGGGTCCTCCCGGTCCTTCTCCCTCGGCTGTCTCCTGGCCGACAGAGGAGGGCGGTCACAGAAACCCACACGAGAGTCAGTGGCCTGGGGCCATGCAAGGACTCATCACCTGTGAGCGACAGCAGCTGCAAGATGATTCTTGTCCCCTTCGGTTGTGGGTGTGGTGGTGACCGTGGGGCTCAGTGGGTAGGGCCCTGGCTCTCTGAGCTCCTTTGCACCCGGTTATAATGGCGGACGCAAAGCTTCCAGTAATGAGAAAAACGAGACTCTGTGTTCCCTGTGGGTTAATTAGTCATCAAGACACAGAGAGGGAAAACGGAACGAGAGTGAGTGCCTTCCCTCTGAGAGAGAAATGATTTGACCGGAACACGAGCTGCGTGCGTATGAAGCTCCCAAACTCGAGATTCTTAGCGTGATTCTCAGGGAGCGTTCTACCTCTCCTTACACCTTCCCAGTGGGGTTCCCTCCTTTTCGCAGCGGCAGTGGCGATGCAGCTAATCACTGTCCTCCGGCAATCGGCAAGACTTCCGCGTTAAATATTCACTTGCATGCAGCGCACCCAGCTCTATTCTAAGGAGAAATCGCATGTCTAAGCCTTTCGCTTAGAGGACGGGGCCTTTTTGCTCACGGAGTCCCATCTGCTGATGCAAATCGGTCAATTCAGACCAGTTTCCTGTGTGCCTGCTGTATAGGCAGGGCTCTCCAGAGCCACAAAATCAACAGAATGTTGAGAGAGAGAGAAAGAGGTTAAGAGAGAGAGAGAGGTTAAGAACGGGCTTACACAGTTATGAAGCCCGCAGGTCCGATACCTGCAGGGTGGGCAGCCGCCTGGGCCCTGCAGAGCCGGTGCTGTAGTCCTGGGTCTGAAGGGAGCTGGAGGCTGAATTCCGTCCCCCTGGGACCTCGGTCTTTTCTCCTACATCCTTGTCCTTGAACTGATTAGGTGCAGCCCACCCACAATGTGGAGGGCGACCTGCCTTTCTCAGAGTCTGCAGATCTGAGTGTCAGTCTCACCTCCCCAGCATGTCGTCCCGTGGTCCCAGGGACAATGTGACCCTTCCCGGCACAGCATTGTCCCAGGCAGGGGCCACACCTACCCGAACCTCCCTGCAATGACCCAACCTTGGCCGCCTCCTCTCCCTAGACTGGTATTACCACCTCCCCGTGAAGCGGTCGGAGAAGGCTGTGGACGCCCCGCCCATGTCCCAGATCCCAGGCCTCAGCGAGCTCCGGGACACCCCCGGCGGGCACCTGCTGGGGACTCGGAGGTACTGGGTCAAAGACACAGACTCAGAGTACGTGAAGCTGGCCAAGCAAGGCGGCCGGCCCGGTAAGCACCCGGCGCTCGGGCTCTGCCCCGGGGACAGCGGTGGGTGGGCATCCACCATCATCCCTTCCTGTGAAAGTCTCCCTGACCGAAGCTGGTGGGGGGTGTCAGGCCCTTGGTGATGGAGGTTATGGGGCAGGTGGGGT